GTACCAGATACAACCGAATGAAAAATTTCATAGAATGTTTTCGAATTTCAAATTATCTTGGGATTTGCTGGTTACTATCGAAGGTTCATAAAGAAATTTTCGATGATTATATTCCATCTGACCAAACTATTGAGGAAAGACGTGTTATTCATTTGGAATGTTAAGTGCTCTGAAAACTTGGAGATATTAAAAAGAATATTGACATAAGCTCCAAGGCCAGTATACATAGAATCTGGAAAATATTCTATGAATTATAGTAAAGCGTCTCATAATGGTTTGGAAAATATTTCATGATCTTGAGTTGGAAATAGTTGTGTTTTACTTTGTTGATATAACACCACTATCTACATGGTGAGTGACATTATATCTATACAGATCTCAAAAGTCAAAAGTATGTGTTGACTCGAATGAATGAAATTAAAGAAAATGGATAGAATTCCTTAAAGAATGATGAAGTGCTTATCAACTACAAATAGGAAAGGCTAATGTGGTTGCTGATACCATAAAGTCGAAAGACATTTCTATTCTAAGAGTTTTGAATATGTGATTATCTTTAAAGAAAGATGATGTTTTGATTGTAGAATTAAATTTAAAGCCTATGTTGCTAGATTGAATGAGTGATCTTAAAAAAACTGTCAGGCTTGTAAAAGATATAACAAGCATGAAAAAGAAGAAACTAAAGACTTTAATGTTAAGTATGATGAATGTTTATATTATCGAGGAAAGAGTTTAGAAACATGTATGAAAAGAGTTATCATCGAGATTTTTCCTAAATGGTTTACATGTAATGAGTTAAATTATCAAGTGCCTTCCAAATTATTGTAATCGATTTCCATCCCTTTGTGGGAATATAAACTGGTTATAATGGACCTTGTAATGGGAAAAAACCATTTAAGATAATCTCATGATAGTTAATGATCGACAAAAGTCTTGCGTATACTTTAAAAGAAAAAAGATTGAATACCAAGAAGGTGATAAAGAAGTATTTCTCAAATTATCACCTTGAAAAAAAGTATTACAGTTCAGTTGCAAAGTGAAGTTGAATCCGAGATTTATTGGACCTTATAAGATTATAAAAAAACAAAGTTGGATCAGTGACTTATCAACTAGAATTACCTCCGGAAATGGACAAGATTCATAATGTTTTTCATGCGTCGATACTCAGGAACTATCAAACATATCCTTTGTATATTATCACCCTAGAGGAAATAGAGATTCAGCCAGATTTGACTTATGAAAAAGAACCAATACTTTTTATAGTTCGAGAAAGAAATCAGAGTTTAAAAAAATTAATTGAAAAAAAAGAACATGATATGAAAAAGCAATATCCTTATCTATTACATCAGGTACGTATTGAAAATTCTAGGATGAATTTTCTTAAGGGGGAATAACTATAATACGCAAAATTTTGGTTAGGACCAAAATCTAAAATTTGAAAGTTTAGTGTCCAAATTAGAAAATTAGGAAAGTTTAGGGACCTAAGTGGAAAATTTTCCAAAAAATTATTCCATAAATGGATAGTTTACTCTTGAAAGTGGGGTTTTATTGAAATCATATTCTTGATCTGGATATTGTGTTAAAAATTAGAAAGTGATAAAGTCCGGTAAAAATTCGGTAAATCGGATCGAATAGAAATTTTAGGAATATTTGAAGGAAAATAAATTAAGCTTTTAAATGTTATTTCCACATTTTAAAATGATGTAAAATAATATGGAGAATAAGATTTGATAATTTATTTCCATTTTCAATTTGGATCGTTGGATTTAAATGGCAAAATTGTAATTTTTGGAAAATTGCTTGGTAAAATTGGAAAAGGGTAAAATAATTTGTTCATATTTGACTTTGGAAAGATGATAAGATATGTGGCTTTGTATTATTGTAGATATCATGTTTCGTTAATGCAAAAATAACATTTCTCATTAAATGAATATTTTATTCATTTAAGCTTAAATAAAGGTTAAATTAACATGAAATTCATTAGAAATTTCATGAAAACTTAGCCATTTTCAGCCAACATTTCGTGCTCCTTCATACCAAGGTAAGAGAAATTTTACTTTTCATTTTTCAACAATTTCGTTTGCATTTTGGATCATGCCATGAAATAGAAAATGATTATATTCGAAAAATGCTATTATTTGGTACCATTATTGTTTGCTAGTTTGGTTTGTGTTCAAAGATTCCAAATTCTAGGGTGTATGTTCACATTAGGGTTTATGGAACTGATGATAGATTTTGATGTTATTGAGGTAGTAGAATCATTTCCAAGCATGATTGATGATTAAAATCACTTGTACACAATCATATTAACATATGAAGTTTCAACCTGACCCTAATGTTGGAATAAAGATTTGTTTTGATTAAATTAAGTTAGGTTATTGATTATAGTGATTTTATAAGGTTGAATCAAAGTTGATTTCATGCTTAAATCGAATCAAAATTTACTAAAATCATGAAAGCCCTAATCTTGAACATACAAACATTCATGTTTGACTATAGAGGATTATAAAAATTATGTAAACAAATTTAGAGGCTAGAAATGATGTAGGAAGTATTCTACAAGCCTTAGAATACTTTGGGGACCATTGTGTAATTTTTTGAAAAGTTAGGGGACCAAATTAGTAATTTTGGAAAAGTTTTGGATTGTTGTGTAAGTGTTCAATAGTTGATTTAATATGATGGAAATTAAGGTTTGAGTATTAAAATTGAAGTTAGGATGTGAAATTGGTTTATTTTGGAAAGCTTGTAAAGGTTGAGGTTTAAATTAAAAATACATAAAAGTTGGGAGATTAAGTGAAAATGTTATGTGAAGTTGGGATAAAAATGAACTTGATGGTCAATTAGAAGTATTAATTTCAACATTTATGTTTTCACATGGAAATTAGATCGAATAAGAATCGAAAAATTTGTTAGGAATTTATTTTCCAAAGTTTGTCTATGTTAGTAAGATTCTAACATTTTGTTTGAATTTGTATATGTTTGGTAATGATTTTCATAGAGATTCAGTAATTGAAATCAAGATCAAACATTATTAAAGCTAAGGAGAAGCTTAAGTATGAAATGGGAAATTATAAGGAAGGTTGCAAGCTAAGGAGACCATGTCAGTGCAAATTTAATTTGTACTTATGTTATCGAACAAACATTTGCCTACGATAGCCAGTGATGGAGATACTATTGGTAAGGAGTGGCTCCTAAAATGTTATGTGATTTGTGATGCATACATATATGTGCATTTGGTGAGATAATAGAATTAGTGAACAAGTTGAAAATGCAAATTGGTGAAATTTGCTTAGAATTTACGTTTTGGACAGTAATTTTAGAAAAGAACTATACATTATAACGAAATTATTAGAGAATGATTTTTACACCATTGGATTCTTATATAATTCTAGTTTTTTTAGAACAAATGCAAACTCATTTCGAGTTATATACAAAAACATATGAATTTTTAACCAATGATAGGTCAGAAAACGGGGCAGCAGATTTTGCTCAAAACAGATTCTATCGATCAACTTTGAAAATTCACCATAAATTGTACAAATTGAACTAGAATAAGTGACTTATATGTATAGATCCATATTTGAGTCTCGTTTCAAGTGGTATAAACAGAATAATTTTTAAAGGTGTATATTAATACAGAATAACATTTCTTTAAAGGTAGTGCAAACTGTCAGAATATGAAATTATGAAAAATTTTGGGATTTAACCTAATTAGAAGCAAATGATCAAGTTGAAGCTTTGTGAGGATTATATTTTGAATTTCACAAATTTAAAAATCAGTGCAATGCATACATAATATTATACATGGATGTTTATACGTCATTGGGTGGGACTTGCGATAAGTTTACCTAAATTATATTGTCATTTGTATTTATGGAATTTATCATGTAATTAATTTATAGAATGCATTGAGCACTATCTATTACATATGATGTTTATCACAAATTTTATTCGTGGAATGAACTTCCCAGAGTTTAAATAGTATTGATATATTTTGCCATGGATGGATCAAATAAAAATAGACTATATGCTAAAGTATGTTATTGAGGGTCAGTGGTCTTAATGGCATGCCGTAAAGTCTAGAAGTTGCATATTAGGTAGCACTATAGTGTCTAGCGAAGGAACATAGTGCAGGCCTCAGAGTGTCTAACGAAGATACATGGCACAAAACACTACGGTGTATAAGGTGGGCAAGGCCCGACCTCAGAACTACGGTGCATTACTATATGAGCAAGGCTCGACCTCAGCACTACGGTGCAATAAATGGTAAACATGCAAATAAGCTTACGAGCTTGTGAAATGAATGGAAATTATATTGGTATAAAACTTGATATCCGGTAATATCATGTTAATATATGTTAACATGGTTGGAAAGTATATTGGTATGAAACTTGATATCGGGTTTATAGCGTGTGATGCTATTCATGCGTAGGAAAACGGAGGAAAATGAGTAAGGAGTTGATCTTGGCATCAATCACCATGGAAATATTTACAGGTAAAAAGGATGACATCCTATTGTGTTCTAAAAGTTATAGATGGCATGTATATAAGAAAGATTGGGATGATTCTCAAATTGGCATTATATGTGTTACCGAAAGCATTATCATTCCTTTCATAATTATGTGCATAGTAGATAGACTCTGAATATTGGAGGCATTAATCAAAATTGTGATTACCGACACAATAAAAACAAGTGATGAAAGATACAACCTTAACTTCATACATCCCTCTTGGATTTTTCAATTTCTTTACCATTTCTGTCAATGCTGAAATCTGTGATGCCATAGAGTTAAAAGCTTCAAAATATACTGTTGTAGCATTGTGATGGCCAAACATATTTCACATATTGGGATATTGGAAATCATTAGTATAGATCATCTCCACAATATCATAAGCCTCATTATATCTTATCTAGCAAATCTCCACTTGCAGAAGCATCGACTACCATACGAGTATGTATGTTTAACCCATTATAGAACATATCAATTTATGTCCAATGGGTGAATTCATGCATAGGATACTTCTATAGCAAATCCTTGAATCTTTCTCATGCTTCATATAAACTTTCATCCTCCATTTCTTGAATAAAGTTACATCATTATAGAGTTTGGAATTCATGTTTGGTGGGTTGAATCATTGTGCTAACTTAGTCTAGGATGATATAGAACCCGATGGCAATAAACCAAAGCAAGCATGTTCTTTGTCAAGTAGAGAATAAGGAAATAGTTTTAGCTTCAGCGCCTCGTTTGAAACACTTTATTGAATAAAGGTATCACAAACCTCTATGAATGCTCTCAAATAAGCCATAGGATCTTCTGCAATAGAAACTACATATTGTCTCATAAATTGTAACATCTGGAACATAATTGGCTTTAACTCTAAGTTTGCAGTATTAATCATTGGCCTCACGATACCTAGATGTAGATCATCCACCGTCGGCACTACATGCTCATGAATAAGGAGATTACGATCATCCATGTTTTGATATGGATACCCTGCTCAAATTCCAATAGGCAACTAACCATCCTCTCCATTCTGTAACAGGGGTAAAATATCATTCCCTCATCTAACCATATTTATTATGTTCTTTGCAACTTCACGACTACGTCTTCTAAAAGTCCTTTTAATATATAGATCAAACGACTCTAATTCTTTGTCTCTTTGTGGCATACATTAGCAAAAATAAAAAATAAAAGTACCTACAAAAGAAAACAACAAAATAAGAAAACCCTAAATCAAACTGAAGCTCCCCGATAACAGCACTAAAAACTAGATGCTACAAAATTGTTACAATATTCAACGCAAGTGCACATGTCGAAAACCAAGCAATAAAGTGGTGGCAAACTAATTCTACGTATAATAAAAATATGTTGAGTATGTAATAAATGCAATATAAAGGATAATAGAATCAATAAAGGAGACACCAGTTCATGCTACAACAATTCAGAGAGCACTACGTCAACTATCAAATCAATGGGAATGATATTATTAACATCTTACCTTATGCAAAGAGAGCATACTAAATCTATGTGATCAACATTGATTAATACCTTTTAAACTTCCCTAATTATTTTTATTAATTAAAGGTTCAAAATATTAATAAAACCAATCAATTGAATGCATGCTTTTTAACACATATTGTTACTTAACAACACCAATGCTATCAAAGGTATACAACAAATCAATCAAATATATTTCATAAAATAATTGAAATTACCATACAATTAATCATAATTATTTATACTCATAATCATAAATCAACAAGCACATAAAAGAAGTAGCAAAATAAACATAAAATAATAATTCCAAAATATCACCCACAAAGTTTATAAAGCATCCAAATCACTTTCTCTTTCAATAGAAGGCTTTGAATTGAGATCTACTGACTGTCGATGCTACTCAGTGAGCTTTCCTTATACTGCAGTAATCCCTAGTAGGGGTTTTAAGCTTCCATGGCACATGAATCAACGTATAAAAGAGCACTTTATAACGCTTTCGATCATCACACCTTTTAGGATTCTAAAGTACTCATATTTATAACTTTGAGGAGTTTTCATCCTCCAATGAAAGGCTTCCACGCTTCGGGTGATATCCAACCCATTGACAGCTCCCTAAGCCAGCTTTCATATCCATAAAGTTCTCTTAACTATTTAGAGTTTGATTGACTGTTGCCGTATCCGCTCAACATTTCCTACAATGCTATGACATCAATGTAATAGTTTTGTAGCAATAACAATCAATTTCAGCCCCAAAAAACCACAAAGTTCCTAATATTAATAATGTGTAAAATGAAACAAACATAATCCTAAAATGCTCCTAAAAATCCTCAATTTCAACCTAAACCTAGGTGGAAAATGATAACATGATAACTCTTTTGAAAAGTTGTCAGTATATATGCATTGGTCTATAACCATAAGATCATGCAACTATGCATCATCATAGACAACAAACATGATAATGTAGCTATCATCGTGTGGTCGGAGGAGTTTTTTCATCTCATACGACAACCATAACATACCTAGAATACTTTGGAATATCATGGTGAGATCCAAAATTTGTTGTATCGAAGACATACACCGGACCAACTTACTTCATCGAGTCTTAGTACATCTACTCCCAATTAGCAATTAAAGTACCTTGATAATAGTTGATATATATCCAATTATTTCTAATAAACAATACGATATTCATGTACACACAAATAGATTCGGGTGCTCATAGGCCACATATATCAATCAACACTACAGAAGGACAAAAAGGTAGTTCGGTTACTCGATATCATAATATAACACAACCAGGTGATGACATCCCTTTTCTCACTACTGTCTCACTCATTCTTCTCTCTGCTAGAATGTTTTGAAAGGGTTTATTAGTATTTTATATATGTTAGCTTATTAAATTGCCTTATTTTGATAATTTAACAATGAAGGGCGTCGTAGTCATTTATGTCTCTAAGGTCTCTAAGCGTTTTATGATTTTACGATAATATTATTTCTGTTATTCACTTGCTAAATTATTTGCTAGCATGATACTTGACTGGGTTCAATATTTAGTCGCATTGGTCTAGTCGCTCTCATCATTCTTTTCCTCGATTTACCCTTGAATTAGAGGGATGACTTGTACACTATCATCAGGCATAAGTAACTCGTGTGTCCTAGTTATTTCTCGAGTATCACACAAGGACAAGTCTTATGGAATCTTACGACATAAGATTCTTAAGCTTTTCTTGGATTCATTATCTATCTTCACTTGTGAGTTCATTAGAGGAGTTTCGGCAGTTTTGACCCATTTTCTGAGCCCGTAAGCTAAAGTTAGTTTCTTGCCCAATTTAATACGATGGTGTCGATACTAAGCCATTTAGTAACAATATCAACCTGTCAAGATCTATACCTACCCTAGGTACCAATACCAAATATGTATTTTTTATCTGAAATGTCTTTAAGTATCGATACCATACTTGTAGTATCGATACTTCACTATTAGAGTATCGATATTATCCTAGGTACCAGTACTAAATCTAGCTACTAGAATTTATGACTTAATGATTGTATCAATACCTTACCCTTTGATTTCGTTACCCGAAGAATAGTATATGTACTATATTTATATAGTACTAATTCTTCCTAGTCAAAAACCTTGAAGTTATTAATTTATATTATTCTTGTGAGTCTTCATAACCCCTCTCATTATAGAGCTAAATGTATTATATCATTATTTAACCAAAATCAAAGTCAAATATTACTAGTATAGGTTATTTAATTCACTAAGACCCACAAAGGAAATTTGTTAATTTTAGCTCATAAGGGTATTTTAGTAACATGCCACACTCGAGCTAATGTCTAATCTCAATCGGTATTAAACTCACTACTCTTGAGTCTGTTTGACATCTTGAAGTTACTCAACCATGTTAGATATGGATATTAAGCCTTCGTTATGGATACCTAATCTTCGGTATAAATACTAGTTTATCCGGGATGGATACCATCTCATCCAGTGTGGATACCAACTTATCTGATATGGATACATGTTTATCTTATATAGATTTTAACCATCGGTATCGATACCAATTTATCTAATATCGATACTGAGACCTAGAAAACCTAGTTCTTACCCATAATATGAACAATATTGATACTAGTTCATCCAATATCGATATTGTTACTTGGAAACACAGTGTTTTTGTAATACCTCAAAAAATTAGATAATGACAAAAATGTAAATTTTGAAAGTTTGATGGTCAAAGTAGAAAATTAGGAAAAGTTTAAGGAATTAAGTAGTAATTTTCCCAAAATAATGTTATTCCATAAATAGATTTAGTGAATGACCAAATTATAAAATTTTAAAGTTAAGTGACCAAAGTATAAACTTTAGAAAAAATTAGGGACCAAAATGGTAATTTTAAAAGTTACAATTGGCTTCGAAAATATATATTATTTTCACATTTTTAAATATTAGAAAATAATATAAATCTTTGGATTTTAGGATTTAATTTCATGTTTAATTTTGACTGTTGGATTAAAGTGGCGAGATTGAGATTTTTGGAAAAATGCAATGGCAAATCGGTAAACTAAGATAATATTTGTTCATATTTGACTTATGGATGAGGATAAGGTTCAGGTGTCATGATTTAGAAGATGATAAAGTTAGGTATATTGGTTTTATAGTAATTATGAAGTTTCATTAAAGGTATATTGGTATTTTCCCAATTTAATGAATTTAATATTCGTTAAATGATAATTTAAAGGATGATGAGCACAAAATATATCTAAAATTCCATGCCAGAGTGTTTATCATCTCTCCATGGACAAGAGTCATACCAAGGTAAGGGAAAAATATTTGTTTTCCATTTTTGAGCCAATTCCTTTGGAATTCGAGTTATATCGTGAAATAGGAAAGTGATCTACGTGAAAAACTATATCATTTGGTATCAATATTGCATGCTAATCTTACTGGAATTCAAAGATCCCAAATTTAAGGGTTTATTTTCATGATAGGGTCCATGAAATTGATGATGAATCTTGATATTTTTGAGGTTGTATATTCATTTTCAAGTTTATTTATGGTTATAACATGTTCAATCTTCCTAGAAATAATTCTTTAAAACTCGGCCAAATTATAAGTTTGAGAAACTTTGTGTTCTGATGAGAGTTGATTAGGGATTTGATTGTAGAGATGTTATAAGGTTGATTCAAAGTTGATTTCATGCTTGAATCGAATCAAAATCGAGCAAAATAATAAATATATTGTTTAAAGGATAAAGAATTCGGCTTTGATGTATTTGAGTGAGAAAAATTATGGAAAATTATATAAGGTATGGAAATGATGTAGGAAGTATTCGACAAGCCTTACAAAAAATTGGGGACCATTTTGTAATTTTTGAAAAGTTAGGGGAACAATTCAAAAATTTTGAAAAAATTATGAATGGTTGTATAATTGTTTAATAGTTGATGTATTATACTGGAAAATACTATTTTGGAATTTAAATGAGTATTTAGATGTGAAATATGACTATTTTGGAAGTTTGAAAAGATTGGTGATTTAAGTATAACATTCGCATAGTTGGGGTACTTAAATGTAATTATGCCTCTGTCAAAGCATTTGAATGGTAA